GCTCCAGCCGACTCACCCACGCCCTCCTTCCCCCCCCCCCCCCGCTCCTGCCCCAGCCTTTGTCCAGTTTCCCGGGCAGAGGTGTCACCTGGCCCCAACCCCCCTCCTGGGTTCTCATGTTACATGCTCGGGTACCTGGCCTCAAGGATAGTCTCTCATCTCCAATGCAGACATTCCCAGCCAAACTCCCCTGCAACCTTCCCCGGTCAATACTCCCCTCTCCCTGCTGCGTCACAGGCACCCACCCAGTATTCAAAGAAAACATTAAGAACATTCCCACTTCGTCACACCCTCCCTCCCGGAGCGCCGGCAAACAGCTGTTTGGTGGTGGGGAAAGCGCTGGGAGGGAGGGGGAGGAGCGGGAATGCAGCATGCTGGGGGAGGAGGCGACAAAGACGTGGGGCAGGGGGAGTTTGGCTGCCAGTGGGTGTGGGACAGAGGTGGGGGGCAGAGAAGAGCTGGCGGGGCCTTGGACTGCAGCCCAAGCAGAGCGGGCCAGGCTGGGTACACTTTGGAGCCTGGCCCTGGCGCCATGGCACCAGTGGTGCCATTGTAAACCCAGTACTGCCTGGAGCCCTGTCCTGGGCCAGCTCCCCGTGTGCTCGGAGCTGTACAGACAAACAACACAGAGATGATCCCTGCCCCAGCCAGGTGACATTCACACCTGGGGTCACTGCGGAGCAGGTCTGGGTGCGGCTGCCCCTATTTCGGGGGAGGAACGTCCCTGTGTCTATAGAGCTACAGGGGAGCTTGTCTGCCAACCGGGGCTGTATCAAACCAGGGGGCGCTAATTCCGACAGCCCAGACTCGCTCTGAGACCCCCTGAGGGCCCAGCTGGGTGTGGGGCTGGGAGCGGGAATGCTGAGCCAGGCCCTTCACTTGCTATCACCAGCTCCACGAGGTTGCTGGTCTGCGACCAGACAGGTGGGTCTCACTTGGTGCTATATCGGCAGCTGTAGTTCCCTGCATCTACCCAGCTCACGTTGCGGATGGGAAAATCAACCACGTCCCCAGCGTGCTCCGTGGCGCGCTGTGCATCTGGGTCTCCAGCTTTGTGCAGAAGGACCCTCGTTCCCTGACACTGACACTCACATCGGACGGTCACGACTCCCCCCAGGGTGATCCCTCCCCCGCTGGGGCGCAGGGAGATGTTGGGTTTGGGCTCTGCAGGCAGGAGGAGACAGGCCGTGAGACACAGACCTCGGCACGGTCAGTGCGCCCTGTCCCCACAGCCCGGCCCCAGTGATGAGGCCGATACAGGAACCTGCAGGGAGAGTCTCCTGGATGCTTTTCCCTCTGAATCCAAGACCGAGAGAGCTGGGCTAGTGACACAAGAGACACGGGGTCCCCCACCCCTCAGCAGGGCAACGTCATGGATCCATCTGCAAGGAGCCCA